AGACAGCAGCTGTGAGAAAGAACTAAAGACTAAGACATATGAAGAGAGATAGAAATAATTCAGAATGTTTAGCCTTGAGAGAAAAAATGTGGGAAAGGGCTGAAGTGGTGCTCTTCACATATCTTAAAGGAGGTTACCTACAAAAAGGTGAAGACATGTTTAAGTTATTCTAGAATTCAAATATAAAATAATAGAGTAAAATGATGGAAAAGCAAATTCTGACTTAGAAAAGCTTCATAATATTAAAAGCAGTTTGTCAGTGAAACTAGTTACTGTGAGAAGTGATGAAATTCCCTTCTGGAGTCGTTCAAGCAGAAGGTAGACATCTCTTGGAGATACTGAGCAGAATCTAAGGTCAATGACAAGAAGGACTTCTTTAACATCTCTGATCTGAACTAGAGCCCCCAAGTGTCAGTTTTGTTATGTAATATAATCTATAATCAAGAATTGGAGGGAAATGTATATTCTTGTAGGCAATAATGGAAGTATATTGAGAAAAATATCATTGCCTTTTATATAAGTGTGCAGAGTAAAAAAGCCTAAACTGTTACTTATATATATATACATATTTATGTTTTCAGATCTGCTTCGATAGCAAACCTCGAATAATCAGCAAAGGGATCAAGGACTCTCCAGCAGTGTGCTCCAACCTAGCTGCAAAACATAGTTTTTATGATAATAAGTAAGTAGGTTGGACCTGTCTTCAGCCAGTACCGTGTTTCCCCAAAAATAAGACAGGGTCTTATTTTCTTTTGCTCCACGAAATATGTCCTTGGGCTTATTATAGGGGAGGGCTTATTATTTTGGGGTTGCCGGGCAGCTGCTCCCTTGCGAGCGTGCTCTGCCTGCTCCCCAGCTCCTGCGGCGTGGCACATTTGGGATACCCCCTAGGTCAGTGCATCGAGCTCTGCCCAGCTGGAGAAGGGGGTTGTGCAAACACCTGTTCCGCCCCCAGCAAGCATGCCTCCCAGCCTCACCATACCCTGGCCCAGCCACCGCTGCGGTGCTCCAAGCATAACTTCTTCTCCAGCTTTCAAACTCCAAAACTGGGCTGCTGAGTCTTCCAGCAGCGGCCGCTCTAGGAGTGCGCTCTATGGTTGTGGGCTGGCTGCTGGAAGACTCTCTGTCCGGAAGACTCTCTGTCCGGCAGCTGGCCCACAACCATCAAGTGCAGGGGGCTTATTTTTGGGGGGTGGGCTTATATTTTTGTCCAGGGGGCTTATTTTCGGGGGTAGGCTTATATTTTTGCCTACGCGAAAAATATGGCAAGGCGTTAGTTTCAGGACAGGTTCATATTTTGGGGGAAACATGGTAATATGTAACTCTTTATTAAAGGGAAGCTGAGCCACAAAGTCACAATTATATTTCTTCTATAAAAAGAACGGTGTTATGCTATTTTGTAGGAATGTTGAAAAGATTACTCATTCCTGATCCCACAGACATTATTCAATGGTTATGTTGAGTGTTCTCATTACTAGCTGGTAATTTGAAGTAGCTCCATACAGCTATGCCTATTTTAATCATTACACTAAATGCTGTTTCCAAGGGGCTACTATTCCTTAAGGATCTTACTAATTTATTAAGATATATTTCATTTGCTTCCAGTGTATTTTTTCACAATCCATTTTCTAGTACCCTGAAACAAATAATTTGTGATTTAAATTGTAATTATGTTTAAGGTAATAAAACCAACAGCAACTCTAAAAAACAATTCTTGATATACAATATTATTGAAACAAAAACCAGCAATTCTACGGTTGAGGGTGGAGTTGAGAGGCACCGGGCCAATATATAAAAATCTTTTTTCCTTTGTATTAATAATGCAAATATTGTTACTAGTGTACAAGGATCAGTTATGCTAATACCAATCATAATATAACCCAATTTAAAGATGCATACAAGGAACTTATTTCTGTAGAGATGGCCTAGACAACAAGAGTCAATTCCCAGCATCTGGAAAATGGGATGATGATAGTTATTAAGATTGAACTAACCTACTCATCCATCACTATCCCCACCCTCAGTACTGATGAGTGGAAGTTGCAAGCTGAAAAATGGCGGTTTTGTCTCAGCTCTACCTTTGTTCTTAGTAATTGGCTTTTTAGTGAGGATTAGTATGAAAGAATCTCTCTTTTTTTGCAGGTGTCTGGTTCACATTGTTCGTTCCACCTCTCTAAAATACTCTAAAATCCGACAATTTCAGGAACATTTTCAGTTTGATGTCTGCAGACATGAAGTGCGTTATGGCTGCTTGCGTGAAGATAGTTGCCATTTTGCTCATAGCTTTATAGAGCTTAAAATTTGGCTGCTGCAGCAGTATTCTGGTGAGTAGTCACTTGGCTGGCACTGTCCAGAGGACTGCAGGGAAGTTAGTTTCAGGCTTCAATGTGTGCACTGTTTTTCTGAGAATGAGAATGTCATCTAGAAATTGAAGAAAGACGAAACAAATGATTTTTAAAAAAATTATATGTACAATACTCTTGGTTATAGAACTGCATGTGTCTTCTAACAAAACTGATTGGGTCCAGTGGGGCAATCTTAATTAATGTCCTACATGCGCAATTATATAATGGGAATGATTTGGGGGAGTCTTAGTTATGAATATTACAAACTTTGCAAAAAGGTTTTGCTCTAAATTAGGTCTCTGATGGGAATAACTGGGGATCAAAAGGGAAGGCTGAGAATAGGCGTGCCTTTTGCACATTTGGCTTGTGTGCCTTGGAATAACACTTTTGCAACAATTGTGCTGAAATGAATAAGCACAGGTATTAACAGAATCCTTTTCCTCACCTCTGTTTGTAGTCTTCAACACACAATATTTTGGCCATTATTGAATGGAAGAATGCAAATCTTTAGTATTCCATCCAGTCCTCTCTGGATATAGAAATCAACAGTTCTAGATAGTAGCTTTGAATGAGTTTGTGTATGTATTGAAAGAGAAGGTAGACTCTACTTCACTTCTTGAATTTGCACATAAAAGTAGTAGGTCCTTATTAGAACAATTGTTATAAGTGATAATGAGTATAATCCTTGACTAATTTGTGTCTTCTGTAAAACATTGTAGAACGTGCTTGGGGAATTGGTTAGAATCCTTTACTATAGCGAGACAATGCTCATCCAGTTACAATGCTCATCCAGCTAAGGGCAATAATTCCAATACTAAAAGTTTATTTTTAAATTTTAGCTGGAAGATATATTATACAACCTCTTATGTACGCTTATGAACATTTTGTTACTATGGAGTGTCATGTTCTCCAATTTTTGCAAATATATAGTGGATTCTGATTAAATACAAGAAAAGGAGCATCACAGAAATGCTTGCTGATAGAACAAAGCAATGAAAGAGTTTTAACTATGTTATAATAATCCGTTAAATCTCTGAAGCTACTTTTGTCATCCTAGGAATGACTCATGAAGATATTGTTCAAGAATCTAAAAAGTATTGGCACCAAATGGAGGCACATGCTGGCAAAGCAAACAACAATATGGTAACCTATCTAGTTTTACTTTAATCCTTTTAAAAAGCAGAATTGCACGAATAGTTTAGAGAAGTTAAAGTTTTAAATGAATAAAATAGTCAGGAAATAAAAAATATAAGAAGCTTATGTAAAAGCCATTATTCTAGTGGAAGCTTAAAATTAAACTATCACAATCTAAAGTGTCTCAGAGAAGAGTAGTGTTTATATGTGGTGCCCAAAAGAGGTAAGGAAAGGTGTTCCAACTGAGAAGTCCTTTCCCTTTGGAGCTATTCAAGTAAGAGCACTGGAACAAAAAAATATATTTTATGTAATCTGGCTCCAAGCCAATCAAGAGTTTTAACAGTCATCACTGTTTGAATCTGATGTGGAAATGGAATGATAACCAGTAGGGCTGACAAAGAATTTTTAGGATGAAACAATTGTAGCAAGAAATCCCATAACAGATTGAGTCTCTTTTGAATTGACTAAAATTCTGAACCATCTTCACAGATAGCTTAGCAAGTAACTCAAGTGAGAGGAGAGAAGTGCTTATATGAAAGATTCTATTTTACATCTGATCTATCAAATCGCTATTGAAGTCATTATGTCTAAGGCTCCAGCCTTAAATGGAGTTATTAGTAAATGCCATGAGACATAAGGGACCTGCCATTGCATAAATATGGATGGGCCTTTAGTCTGCTAGATACAAATATATGAATGATACAGCTGAGGTGGTATCTAAAGAATGCTATAGATATTTAAGGCTGATGTCCATACATGGTTTTTTTTTTACCCTGAACATTTTGACAGAGGGAAGTTGAATTTCTTCTTCTAGATTAAGCCATGATTAATCTATCATGTTAGGTAGAGCAAGCAGCCAACTGAGATGACTGATGTTGGAAGGCGGTTTTGTAGAACAAAGCTATGTCTGCCTTGCAGTTTCTTTTATACCATGAAAACGAGTCTGTTCTCTTGAAACTATAACTATGTCCTTTAAGACATTTTCTTCCTAAAGTTCCTGTCCCCCTGCTGGTCTTGGTTTCATTCATACTACATAAATAATTTGTCAGGCTGATGCTTGAAATTCTTAGATGCAGCATCTTCATCTTTCATTGTTTTTTAATTAAAAATGATATTTCAAAAAATTTACAGAAGAAAAATGTTTGAAAACAAAATCTCAAGATTTCATATCTTAAAAACAGCATTTTGATAGTCACACACGTTAATTTAAACTGGTGGATGATGATGATGATGATGATGATGATGATGATGATGATGATGATGATAGATTGATTCTTAGATGTTTAGAGTTACTGAAGGGGGAATATATTAATTTGTAAGTTATTACTTGAAAATCAAACCTTTAATTTTAAAGCATTGCCTAGTGATTATAATCTGATGCTCTTACTTGGGGGCATTTTGGAGTGCTAAAAAAATGCCTGGTTAGTTAATAAAAGGTGCCCAATCCTGGAATTGAATTAAAACTATTTTTGAATTAGAACACTTAATTCTTGGCATTTTTCTTTATCATCTAGCTGTTTTTAATTTCTTTTTTAAATATAATTTTATTGGAAGTTTTAAAAGCAAGAATAAAATTAATACAAACTAAAATAGAATAAGAAATAAAAAATAAAAGAAATAAAAGGGAAAGCTAAAATGCAAAAAGAAAAATAGAAAAGAAAAGAAAAATAGAAAAGAAAAAACATACAAAGAAGTGGCTTCCAATCTTTTTGCAATAATCATAATTGTAGATTTATCTTGGATAAAGCAGTGAGTCTCTTCTTTCTATAATGTATCCTACTGCAAAATAGAATTCATCATATGTATCTCTAATTTCTTTTATCATTTTCAGTTCAGGAAGGCATGTTATGACTTGACCAATATTTTATATATTTTATAGATTGTGACTTGATGCAACTCTAGTAGTGCAGAGCAGATTTTCATACTTTGCAGCTGCCTAAGGCACTACTTTGCACCATCATACCTAAACTTTTTGAGAAAGCATGGATGAACATAAGACATTTGATGCAGCTGACGTAAAACCAAAGAACAGACATGAAAAGAGTCAACAAGAATTTTGTAGACTTTGGACTAAAATGAGTGTTGTAATAGCCCACCCAAAGCAAGGCACCCTGTTTGGCCTGCATTGCCATCTACATTTATATCTGCTTAAGCAAGTTGAATCAAATAAAAAATAATCCTGCATAATTCCTTTTCTTGTGGGAAAGTTACATTTTTAAACATTTTTTAAAAATGTAGGGTAGAAAAGCGGGGAACTGTGTATGTACTACATTCTTCTTATTGCATGGGTGCCTCATGTATGTCATGGTTATATCTACATGGCAGTCTGAAGGCAACATAAGATAAGAAACCAAAAAGGGATGGGAAAAAGGCTGAGACTTCACAAAGTAAATATACAGAGAGAAAGCATCTTTAAACTGTAAAAGATGGCTGGAATGACCTTGCTAGGCCAAGAATTTGCAGGAATTCATGGAGCAAGAAAGATGTCATTGTGACATTTTGCTATCATACTAAGTGTTACATGGATAACCATTACATGTACTGAAGGTGTTCATGCTAAAGCGTCAAGAATAATGGATTGTTAATGGGGAGTGGGGTAGATGGTACAATTATGGTCCAGATTGTTACAACAATGCAAGAGACATAAAATGGATCTACTCTGTATAAGTAAGGCATGATACAATGTTGGTTCCAATTCTGGAACTGTCATCAGCATTACTCTGAATGAAAAACCAGCAATGTGGTATCTGCATATANTGAAAAATAGAAGAGGGGGGAGAGAAACCAGTCTAATTTAAAAAGTAAGAGGCATTTGTAAGAGTTCCATCCATAAAAAAAGCAAAATTAAAAAAAGATAACACACTAAGTTTAATACAGGCTTGCTTCACCGCTTACTCTCTTCTGTCTTCAATTTTAATTTTACTCTAAATATTTTTGGGTGTTCTCTAATAGTAAAAATTATCTCACCATTTCGACACACTCTCTTTCCTGCTTTTCTTCTGTTCAGGGGCTGTCCCAACCTTCTGCAGCTTCAATGGCTGCTTCTCATTGTTGCGGGGAAAAAGAGCTTCTCCTGGATCAATCAGGGACTTTGCAATGTCCCTGAGATCAGCAGGACCTGCCCTTCTCTGTTATCATCTCTACGAGATGGTTTAGGTCCAAAAGGACCGTCTAGCAGCAGAGATATCGACAGCAATCCTGAAGCTCCAAGATTGCAAGTCGTGTCGTAGCAACCTCAGCCCCGCCCTTCTGAAATACCTATTAACTTTTTCATCCAGGTCCTCAATTTGATTAGCAAAATATTGCTGTACTTCCTTTTTTTAAAAACTTCACTTCCCTATCTCTTTCAAAGATTCTGTGTTGGAATGATCATAAGTTGTCTGAGTGATTTGACATTGGATGAGCAAAGGAACAATTTCCTTTTGGGTCTAAACCATTTTATAACTAAACAAATGAACTTCGAAACATTGCAGAAGGGGAATGTATATCTCTTGCTACAAGAAAAATGCTGCTTAATTTAATATTTGGTAATACTTTCACAATAGGAAAAAGCTCCTTTTTTGTGACATACTACATGTTGAAAATGAAGCAGGTTAAGATGCTCATTATTGCTCCATGTAGTCTTTGACTTACAATAGTTCATTTACTAACCTTTTGGAGTTACAATGGCACTGAAAAAGTGACTTATAACCCTTTTTCCCACTTATGACCGTTGCAGCATCCCTGTGGGCATGTGATCAAAATTCAGATGTTTGGCAACTAGTTCATATTTATGAAGGTTGCGGTGTCCCAGGGCCATGTGTTCACATTTTGCAAATTTAATGGGGAAGACAGATTTACTTAACAGTCGTGTTACTAACAACTGTGATTCATTTAATAACTATGGCAAGAAAGGTTTAAAATGGGGAAAAACTTAACTGTCTCGCTTAGCAACAAAAATGTTGGGTTCACTTGCAATCATAAGTCAAAGATTACCTGTATTATTTTTGTTCATTTGAAAAATGAAGAACCCTGGGGAATGGTAGATGGATCTGATCTTGCTGATCTCTAAGGAAGCTTATTTTATTGTCTTTTTCAGGCAAACCAAACTGGGCCAAGCACCCACACCACAGTACCCAAAGTTGTAGAGTTTCTTATGTATCAGCCAGAATTGGTGATGTCCAACACAACTCTGCTTGTGAAGAATCCCTTGGTGTCTACTCACATCTTCAAACAGGCCTGTCACATCTGCTATCCCAAAACAGGTCATCTGCTTATGATGAAGATGGCCTCAAATGTTTAGCAAAACTGGACTCTTGTTAACATTGTCCTCTTTTATAGGCCCCAAAGCTGGCGATTATACTTATCGAGAAGGCCTGGAACATAAGTGCAAGCGAGATATACTACTGGGCAGGCGTCGTATATCAGAAGATAAAACTTGGAAGAGAATTCGGCCACGTCCAACCAAGATGAACTTTGTGGGATCCTATTATCTATGCAAAGGTGAATTGAAGAAAGAGGAGAAAGTAATACAATGCAGACTGTTTCATGAAGGAGGAAAAGTTTTGTGCAGGTTGGGCTGAAGAATGTGAGGGCAATACACTGTTAATTTTTGTCTACTTACTTAATCACTGTGTTTGCTGATTGTAGAGATTTATAAAACTCCCTTAACATTTGCAGGTATTAAAACATTTAAAACTCAAACTTGAAAGAAAAAAAATACTCATGCTAGTGGTAAAATTGAAAACATGCATAATGAAAACATTTGGGAAATATTCCACTCACTGTTCATCTAATGGTCATGGTGAGATTTTCTCCCCACTGAAAGTCAGTGCAAACAATAATAAATAGTTAATACTTTGTTGCCCTTGCATGGTGATGTAAGGACTGGCACTGGTGAAGTGGGAACCAACAATTCTCAGGTCTGACAGAATCATAGTAAGTATTGAACAGGGACCTCCCAATCAAAAAGCTAGGAAAAGAACAGCCAAAACTCCGACTCAAATTTGGGAGGAAAAGTCTTAGGATTTAAATCCGAAGGGCTGATGATCATGTATAGGACTTGATTTCTGTGTTCTGCGGTATTTTTAATTTATGTATTTGTATCCCACTTTTAATACTTTTACAAATAACCTAAGGTGGAAAGTGCACTTAATATCCCTCCCATTTGCCTCCACAGCAACAGCCCTGTGAGGTAGGTTGAGCTGAGAGAGAGTGACCAAGGTTTCATGGCTAAGATGGGATTTGAACTCATGGTCTCCCAGTTTCTAGCCCGGTGCCTTAATCATTAGATAGAACTACCGTATTTTTCAGAGTATAAGACGCAGCAAGGTTTTGAAGAGGAAAATTTTTTTTTTAAAGTTTTTGCACTCTGCAAACCTCCCAAAAACGGCCCATTTTTTGCAAAAAGGAGCCTGGTTTTTCCCAAAAAAGGGCATGAATAGCCCTTAGGAGGCTTGTAGAGTGATGGGGGGGGGGGCGCAAAAACAAGCAAAAAATGCCCTGTTTTTCGCAAAAACGGGCCCATTTTTTGTCAAAAAAAGAGGCATGGATAGCCTTTAGGAAGCTTATAGAGTGCTGCTGGGGAGTGGGGGGGAGAACAGATTAGATTAGATTAGATTA